TGCAGACGGCATACCTCAGGGGACTCGGGTGCAAGCATTTAATGTATCTGTTTGTGCTTCAGCTGCCTATGTTTCATGTTATGGCATCCCGCTCACGCACCGTGGCACAGGAACGAGCGGGCAGCGCGTGGTGCCAGCAGCCGCGTGATCACGGCTTTGTCGCCACTCACTCATCGCCTGATCTCTCTGCCTGAGCCTCGCGTCGTTCCCGGCACGTACGGGTCAGCCATCACCACGGGTTACCGGAATGGTCCGCCCCACGGAGTCTTGCTACGAGGCGTCGCTGCGGGGGGTGCAATTCGCTCTGGTGTAAAGCCAAACGCTCGATCTGTACTGTACTCCGCCTCCCCACTCGAGTTGCATAATCTCCCCTCTGTCAATACAAAGCACTCAGCAAGATGTCCAAAAAAAGCCACCTATTTTATGAAATGTCAAACTCGCTGATGGTTTGTTTTTTTTTATGTGTTATGTAAGTTTCTGCAATAAGGCATTTTGGCAGCAGTTAGATACAATAGTGACAAATGTCATTGGTTTACTGTATAACACAGCAGCAACTGGCCCTGTGTTCCTCACTGTTACACTCTTAGGGACAGCAGACAGCCTGTGTCACAGATGACCTTTGCCCTTTGGGGACATTTCTCGGAGTGTGAGACATCACCAATACAGCAGTCTGGGGTTGGTCACCTTTGATAAAAACTGATTGTTCCTGTTAAAATGGGGCTGGTGTAAGTCCAAACTGATGACCATGGTTTACGTTTGCAAACACAAACTAGAGCCGATGAACACATAAAACAATCAATAGTCTCCAAACTTCACTGTGAATTCTGAACACTGACACAAAGACTCCGAATGACATGAAGGCCTTCATCATCAGGATGTTTATGTGCGCAGATCTCTTTGCATCTTGGTGTCCTTGTCACTGTGCATCTTTGGAAGACCATTCCTCTTGTTGTGTTCAGCAGCAGTCACACACAGTCTGACTCCCATCATAGAGTCCTCACTGCGTTAAGCTCTGACACAGTGGCAGTGATATGCGGTCTGACTCCCATCACTGAATCTTCACTGCATTCAGCTCTGACACAGCAATGATGCGTGGTCTGACTCTCATCATAGAGTCCTCAGCATATTCAGCTCCGATGCAGCTGCAGTGACATGTGGTCTGACTCCCATCAAAGTATCCTCACTGCGTTCAACTCTGACACAATGGCAGTGACACACAGTCCTCACTGCGTTCAGCAGTGAAATGTGTCCTGACTCCCATCATAGAGTCCTCACTGCATTCAGCTCTGACACAGCAACGATGCGTGGTCTGACTCCCATCATAGAGTCCTCAGCATATTCAGCTCCGATGCAGCTGCAGTGACATGTGGTCTGACTCCCATCAAAGTATCCTCACTGCGTTCAGCTCTGACACAATGGCAGTGACACACAGTCCTCACTGCGTTCAGCAGTGAAATGTATCCTGACTCCCATCATAGAGTCCTCACTGCGTTCAGCTCTGACACAGCTATATAAACATGGTATGGACTCTGTCCAGCTTCAAATCTCTCTGTATTTCCCTTTTGGTGTCAATTCTTCTATTTGAGTATCTCACGACAGGCTGCTGTATGTACCTTCAGGTAGACTTTGCATCTGCAATGGCTGTGTTGCTTTCACGGGAGAAGCAGGAATGCATGTTCCATCTGTCCCAGGAGGACATGTCAGGCCTTCTTTCCCTTCTGTTCAGTAGGTCTGAAGTCCCATCTGGTGTCTATATGAGAATCCATCATAATGGAGCTGTAATAGAATTCCGATTGGCTTACATGCTTCCTAATTAATTTTATGGGAAATTCACAATGAGATTCATATTAGGGTTTTCAGTGTGACTTTCTCATGGGGAAGCTCTGGCTGATGGCCATCTATTTGCGATGATTGTCGAAAATCGTGTTCCTGCATTGTCGACCCCAAAGTAAACAGACACAGGGCCTTAATTCCAGGTTTTTAATGATGTTCAAAAAGTACTCTGCAGTACAATACAATGGTAAGAAAACGCAAAACCTCAAATATGGTTCTAAACAGTCCTATTCTTCTCTCACATTTACAGAGCGTAATGAAACTATTAAACATCAACAAATAGTAATAAAAATCATGTCCAGTTTCACGTTAGTAGTATAATGTTACATTCTAAAGTTCATTAAGTCAGAAAAGCAGCAAAAATTAACCAAAACACATCTCACAAAAATAGTACACATATATACAAATATATGTGTATATATGTATATATGTAGGTAACAATCATCTAATCTCACCACAAAAAGCACTTAGTTCGTACAGATTCAGTAGCGTTGGCACAGACTTTGATTTGAGGGATTGGAAATATACAGATTCCTGTCAGAGCACATCGAGTGAAGCCATCAAATAAATACCGTACCGCTATAAATAAACTTTCAGGAAACCTAAAATTTAATTTTTAAAACTCATTTGGGACCATACAGAATTTTTCATGTTTCTTCCCTAGCCAAACTACACACCAGCGTCCAGTCAATATATTAAAATTCAATGCGTGTTAAAAATGAGCCCTACTGTAGTAAGTAATGAAACTGCAAACTATATTCCAAAACATCCTATTAAGCATAAACTTAAAACGTTTTTCACAGCATTATTTTAAGACAAAACAAACCGAACAGAAACACTAACAGGCTCTGATTTGAGAGATACTGCGGGCTGCTGTCAAGACGAGAAAGTGGAGCAGTGGAGCATTCCACTGATGGCGATGGAGCTTGGCCAGGATTGGCCAGCTGAACGTGCTTTGAACCCCTGACACTTACAGCTGGAACAGAAATGTGTGTCGTGTTCCCCATTTCGAAATGTACGGAGGCGTGATCCTCATTTTCGACATTTTTCATGTCTGTTTTCCGTTTGCCGTGTCTTGCTTTTGATTACAAAGCCACTGTGTTCCATCACCCAGAAAAAGAGAGGAATCACAAAAAAGACAGCAATTCACCCTTTATATCTGACACAAGGAAGATTTACTTTTGATAGCAGGAGTATCCTGCTCTGTGTAATTACAGCTCATTCTGATACCCTTTGATATTGTAGACACTGTTAAAAACAGCATGAATTACTTTAAAATCATTTTACTACCCTGGCACTTAAATTATGCTTGTCATACCAAATCAGCCCACTCAAGAACAGCTTTTATGAAGAGCTTTACTGAAATGTCCCGCAGATTAATTGTTAAATATATGAAATAATACCAAACGAACAAAGAGTTTTCCATAAACTGAAATGTTGTCAGTGACTCTGATGGCAGATGGTAGAACCTCATGTGTACCAAAAAGCTTCTTGAATGCTGAATTCTGACAGTTTAGGGAGGGAATAAAATATATCTGGGCGGAAAAGCAAAGACGTCCATGTTACTGACGTAACGAAGCAAACAATTTTTAATAAACTGAAGAAAAAAGATACCAGTTTGATGAGCACACTGCAAATGCACAGCAATTTTTTGTTTCATTTAAATATTGTATGTATTGTGTACATATATACCTGTCGTATTGCTTTTTGTTTGAGTTTAAACATTATATAAAATGGTTAAAAAAATTAAACGGTAAAACAGACTTTAACTTCTGATTGTATGCAAACACTGCCCCCCCCCCCAGCCCCCCCACCCTTTGGCACAGGTCATTGTCATCATAATAAATTTTTCTCATATTTACTCACCAGACAACTGAAGCTAAAAACAGCTTTTCACATTCATTGAAACACAATTGTACATGTAGATATATGATATATGTATCCTAACTATCAACAGCGCTTTTTAAAAGGCGTGTTGACCTCAACTCTACGCTTTTTTTTCTGTGAGGAGTATTGGTTTACTTCTGACATCTGAGTTGCTAATGAAAAATAGCATTTTAGCATCGTCCTTTAGCATTTACAAGCCGTCCGCTACCACAGAGTGTTACTGGCATCTTGGTGATGGACTGCAACTCTTACTTTACACTAGATCACTCACCTGACATATGAATCTGTAAATAGAATGAATGCTCTTGTGTAGTATGTTAATCTGGTCACCCAATCCATACCCTCATCTGTCAACACCGTCTTGTCTCAGCAGTTGTATATGAATAATAAGCTCCAAACAGAAGAGCCCTTTTTAAAACAGGAGATTGACATATGCAGAGGCTGCCTTTCAGTGAGCCAATCAGTGGGTTTATGGTCTTTGTTTGACAGATCCCATAGTATGACTAAGACAATGCTAACTTTCACAGGTGAAATGATTCTGAAGCTCCCAACCTCAAATGCATGTAACTACTATCGCCACAATAGCCTTGGCCGTCACGGTGTGATGGTGACTTAGGAACATCTCCCACAATCCCTTTGGAGGTACAAGATAGATTTGGTCCCACGTCATTCAGGAATCATTTTTGGAAACGTACATTCAGGCTTTCAGTAGGACATTGAGAGCCGCCCCCTCAGAAAGGCGCGAAATGAAAACAGAGCTATAAAGGTACGAAAAGGGGGGAGCTCTTGGTGTGCTCTTCTGCGCAGGTGGCTGTGCGTGTGTGCTCCACTATGGGCATGAAGCAAAATAGTTTGTTGGCAGCGAGGTTCATCACACATGCCATATTTACACCCTTCCCCAGGGTTAAGCTGGGCCCTTGCCCCGTTAGACACAGTCCCGGCATCGCCGACGCTGTTGGGATGCGCCGGTCACCGTGGGAACCGCCCACTACCACCGTTCACAGCCCTTGGATTCTCGACGCAACTCCGGAGACAACGACCACCCGGGAAAGGTGGGTCTGCCGATGCTCACATGCGGGAGACGTCTAATTAGCTAAAAAGCCATGTGACAGAATAAGGCCAATGCCAGAGCGAGGACCAGGCCAGGGTGTCGCCGAGGACCCTGGACTCTCTGTTGCTGTTGCTTTGTGATGTTCTGGCAGTAGGTGTCGCTTCTGGACCGGATGCTCTCCTGCAGCCAGCCTGTGGGGCGCCCGCCCGCCCGCCCGCCCGCCCGCACGTGTCACTGTGCCGCCCCCGGCCGTGCCGCCTCCTCACAGGGACGAGGAGCTCTGGCTGTAGTCCCGCAGCACCAGCCGGTCATATTTGGGTGAGGCCGGGATGCAGAGCGCCGACTCTGACACGGGGGAGGTGGGGGAGCCGCTGCCCGAGCCCACCGAGTCCCTGAAGGGGGAGGGCGGGGTCAGCGTGGCCAGCTCCTCCAGGTCACTGCGGACCGGGGGCGAGCCGGGGGGCGTGTCCCCGTCGCTGGCAGGGGAGGCGCGGCCCGCCACGGGCTGGCAGGCGTCGGCTTCGGTGGGGGGCACAGGCTGCACCTCCGCGAAGGTGGTCATGGTGGTGGGCAGCTGGATCTCGCGCGGGATCAGGAAGGTGGGGGGGAAGGTCTCGGCGGCGCCAGGGGGCACGGGCACGGGCGTGCTGGCCAGCATCATGCTATTGAGCTCACTGATGTTGGCGGTGAAGCGGTTCACCACGCAGCTGATCTGGTCCATGATGGAACCCTGGTTCTGGGGGCTGTGTTGCTGCTCGCCAGGGTAGGTGGCCGTGGGCAGGTCCTCAAGGCCCCTGGCCAGCGCGGCAGCCCGCTGGCTCACTGTGCTGATGGGCGAGGGAGTCTGAGGCGGGTATGCGCCCGGGTAGTGCTCCTCGGCCTCAGACACCTCGTACAGCATCTTAGTGCTGGACTCGGGCGTGAGGTCGCCGCCATAGCGGGTCTCAGGGCCCTTGGAGAAGGGCTTGATCACCGCCGTCTGGTTGCTCTCACGCTTCTTAATGTGAAAGGACAGCCTCTTCCACAGGTGGTTACCTCTGGAGCCCCTCTCGTTCTGTGCCCAGGTCACCGTCTTGCCATTGGAACTGGAGGGAAAACAGAACAAACAGATGCAGCGGAAAAGGCTGTTAGATCTGATTGGACGATAACTGGTCCATTCCAGGTGACATTGATGAGTTGATGGCACTTCGTGGAGGCTGAAGTAACCACAGCAGGCAAATCACGCAACTGACAGTTAACATTAATGATTAACACACAACGCTTCAACTGGCACCACTAAATTCATCGGTGGAAATATTTGCCTGACAAAATACATCATTAACCAACATTTATGACAAGTCAAGGTTTGCAATTTGAATCTTCTTCTGCGTTAAAAACAGAAAAGCGGAAAGGTGTGTATTCTGGAGGGACAATCTTTCTGTGTGGCCCAGCTGTGAGGTTAATTAGAAACTGGAGCGTTTTTTTTTTTGTATAATTAAGGGTTCGCTAAGTCCGATTTTATCATGCAGACGGGATTTGGTAATTTTCTGTAAAAGTCAGCGAGTGAGCGAGCATGAAGATCCGTGAGGCTGTACCATGCAAGAGTGATGATGTAGTATGAAAAACAGCACGCTGCTTTAACATATACATCTGTGTTAGACCGACTCTGCACCGCGACACGGAGCGGTATGTTAATGAGCATGTCGGCTCACTACCTTCAGATATTATTACCTGTGACCGCCTGAGGAACTACTCTGCACTGGGAACTGAAACTACTCACTCAGAGTGCATGGCGGTGCTTGGTGGTGCATGGCGGTACTTGGCGGTACTTGGCGGTGCATGGCGGTGCATGGCGGTGCATGGCGGTGCATGGTGGACCACCTTTAAGGGCGGTTTTTAGTGGATGCAGTCATTTGCTATATACAAAAAAACTGTAAAACCATGCAAAACAGGCGCATCCAGAAATATGGGATTGGTCAGCATCTGCAGGTTAGTCGTTAAGAGCTGGACCTCTGCTGGATGAAAAAGGCAGGGGACAGCAACCAAACCCCCCCACCAAACCTGATGTGCAGATACCCCTGGAAGGTAAGAGGAGCTTTACAGCCCTATTCCCAGTATGAATGCCCCCAGAAAAAAATAGGGTAAAAAGGAGTTCAAGCAGAGATCCCTGGGGGTTCATGGGGAGTTTAAGTGCTAATAGTTTTGATATTTAAATTCCTCTCATCCATGAAAAACACAGGTACTAGACATGATAGGACAGCGTGTGAAATATGAAGGTCCAGGTGATGTTCTGCCTTAGTAACCCACAGTGGGGCGGCCATGGGCGTCACGCAGAGACTGGAGCAGAGCTTGTTAACGAGGCCAGTCTGCCGAAGCTCGGGGAGGGTTGCAAAGGGCCTTAGTGCCAGTCAGATCCTCTAATATAGAAAGATGTGGTACTCCTGTTTTAACACTTTAATATTACACTTCCTGCATTGTTCAGAAGCCACGCCTCCCCTCATCATGTACACTTCCTGGAGTTATTTCTACATCACAGCCATGACATTGAAGTTATTCCCATGACAGTTATATTTCAGAAGCACTGCCTCCTCAAGGGAAAATGATTAAAACAGTAACATAGACTTTAATGCTCTCCAGGGCCTTTTATACACATCAGTAAATGTATATATGACAGACGAGCCAACTGATGCATTTACATGATGAGGTCTCAGGGGTACAGCAAGGTGACCCTTCAGAGGGGGTAACTCACTATGCCAGATGATGTCATTCATCATATATTGCTGTGCTTCTGGAGACCTGATTTCGTTCTGGTTCACCCATCACCTTGTTCAGGGGTATTTCTTGGTTACAGTTCCTCAACCATGATGCCATCAATTTCCAGATCTTAGAAACCACATTTGTAAGTCATCACAGGTCCCGTCCCCCCCCCACCAGGCAGCGGGGGGGGGGGGGGGGTATAGAAAAGCACATACCTGAGGGTCTCCCCAGAAGATCCCCGGCGCTTCCACAGGTTGACCAGGCTGCTGGAGCGGCTGGCCGCAGAGGAGGACTTGCCATCGCCCACGTGCATGCGCACCACGGTGGAGGTGGTGAAGGCACTGCGGACGTTCCTCTCCGGCTTGGCCAGGATGATGTAGACCTTGGGCACGAACATGCAGCCCAGTGCCACAGTGGCACTGAGGCTCACTGAGAAACACATGGTGATGATCTTGTAGTTGCTGCCGAAGTATATGGGCACGAAAGCCAGCCAGATGATGCAGGTGGTGTACATGGTGAAGGCGATGTACTTGGCCTCGTTGAAGTTGGCCGGCACGTTGCGCGTCTTGAAGGCGTAGAAGGTGCAGCTGAGGATGAGCAGCCCGTTGTAGCCCAGCGGCGCCACCACGCCCAGGTTGGTGGTATTGCAGATGAGTTTCACCTCACGGATGCTGGGGTAGTCGTGGACGACGTTGGGCGGCTCCATGACGAAGAGGGCCACGATGATGCCCAGCTGAAGGAGGATGAGGATGAAAGCAATGACCAGCTGGGCACAGGCGCTCATGAAGCGAGGCTTCTTGGTGCAGATCTTCTTTTTGCTGCCAGCCAGGATGCGTGCGATGCGGTTGGTCTTCGTCACCAGGGCCGAGTAGCTCATGGCGGGCGACAGGCCGATGCCCATCCTCTGAAGGTAACAGTAGATGATGTGCGGCTTGGCGATGAGGCAGAAGGTACAGAGGTAGCCCAGGCAGATGCCGGCCAGGATGATGTAGCAGAGCTCGCGACTTGAGGACTTAACCACGGGCGTGTCCCTGTATATGATGAAGATGGAGGTGACGAAGAAAGTGGCAAGGAGACCCAGGCAGGCAAAGACGACGGCGGCGATGGGTTCCGGGTCGCCCCAGCGGAGGTACTCCACAGGAATGGGGTCGCAGCCTGAAGATTACGGGCAGACACAGGCGGACCGTTCGTTAGCTTGCCCTGCTCTGTCTAAATGAGTTTTAAGCACAGTCTCGCAGGCATGCGATAAGAGCAATTAATCCAAAGGACAGCTCTAATTACAGTGCCTCTTAATGTGCAAAGAAAGAAACTCACGGTTAACTAAGAAGCGGGATCTCAGGTATAAAGATTCAGTTAGTCTCACGAACACTTAAAATCATGGTAGAATTCTTTTGAATGTCTTTTTAATATCAATTATTGTTTTGTACAAGCATTCATATCCCTAATACCAAGGTGTTGCATTCAAATACATCACATACGCAGGTAAGAGGGCTTGTGGCTCCTTGTCATGGTTGTTTATTTGAGCTGGAGCTTTTCAAACCCTTCGGAGCATATAGCCTGAGCCTCTGCTCTGCTACACTACCTCCCGAGCTGGAAAAGGAGGGGGATCATTAAGGCGCACAGGTGTGAAACAAGGTGAAGGAGAGCTCACTGTGCGTGAATTTAAAGCAGGGCGCTGTAGCAGCGTGCAGGGACGCTCCGGCCAGAGCTGGATGTTTTATGCATTAGTGCAAGCGTACATTCAGCTTTCATTAAGGTAAACACTGGTGCCGGAAACTGATTCATATTAAATATTCTCCTTAATAAAGAATGATGAAACTATGCAGCCATGCTGAGGATGAGGGGAGGGATGAGGGGAGGGAGGACGGAACTCCCCCCCCGCCCCCCCTGCCGTGGCCGGCCCTTCTCTCTCATTCAAATGCATTTCACATGGTGTGAACCTGACCACTTACAAACTGGGAACCTGATTTAGATCTGAGACAGCGACATCAGAGACTGTATTCCATCCATGCTTCTGTCCAATCGCACGTAGGCTGCCTCCTGTGGGGGTACAGCACCGTCGCGGGGCTGATTCTGGACTATCACAGCTGTGGCAGAGTGGAGGATGGCCCCCCTGTGGATACTGCGTTTGGCTGGATGTGTTTTTCATGGGTTGTTCCACTGCGCTTGGATTTCTTAAAGGGACCTGCCCCCCCTTTTTAATTCTGGATGATTTTTTAGATTTTTCAGATTATAGCACATACCAGCTTGTCAAAACAGGACATTTCGGAGTTGTGGAAGACATTTAAATTAGCCTTAAATACCTTAGATACCGGTTTGACAAACTGACATTTTGTTCTTGGAGCAGTGAAGAGTCTTTTTTTTTTTAATAAAGACCTCAGTGAGACAGACAGACAGACAGGCAGGCAGACAGACAGACAGACAGACAGACATAGAAAGTAAACATTAAGAACAAAGAATAAGAAAAAACAGAGTGACAGTGCAAAGCTACTTGAAATTGCCACAGTTAGTTGTGCACCTTTGCAGTCATTGCCAGTCTGACCAGGCAGCGTAGCCCTTAGCTTTGTGACAGAATGCCTGTGTTATAAGCTGAAGTCCTGACAAGACTGTGACATCCAGCCAATTGCATTTCCACTGAACAATCAAGCAGGCGATTACTTTAATTCTAATTGGAAACAGTAGCTAATTTTCATTATGCTTAATGGAATAACCACATCAAATTAAATTTCTCTTTTTTTAATGGTCGGTAAGAAAGCGATAACAGACGTTTAAAGTTTTAAAAAGCTACAGACCCTGACCCAAATGAGCCGTTGGAATATGGATGGATGGATGGAAAAACATCCAGTGAGGAAAAATAGCTCATTGATATTAGAATATTCAAGGAATTTCTCAAATTTTATTTTCATAATATAGGACAACCAAGAGATTATCCGGAAAAGTTGTGTGGAATTTCCTAGGATATCAGCGTACCTTCACAGTTTATCGTTCCAGGGAACATCAGACCTCATGACCTCAGAAGCTCGTCACCTTATACATATGGGGATGAAATTGAGGGAGGGGGGATTCCTCCCTATGTCCCTGCATGTCCTCTTGATGGACACATCATCCAGGGCTCCATTCTGACATGTGGATAAAACCACGACAACTCTTTGACATTTAAAAAGATAAAATTTCCATTCCAATTAATGACTTGTTAATCACCTATTGTGTAAATGCTAATTTAATACTAATTTACAAAAAAACAGAAGTGCAATTTGCATTTGAATTTAGCAATGTTGCAACACTTGATTTAGCAAAGAAAAAAAATCTTGAGTAACAAATTTAAATTTGAGAAAAACATTCCTATCTGATCCTGGCCCTGGGTTCTGTGAACATTATACTGTGATAGTAAAATAATTTCATTACATCGATTTATTATTGTTTTGCTGTAATGACCTCTTTATAATATCGAAAAATTTCACTGGATTATGTTTTAAAATATAGTTTTACTCAGTCATGCTGTTTCTCTACTGAAGCTGGTTAGGTTAAGACATAATGAACCGGCTCTCCATGCCTTGAACCCCAGGCTTTTGTATCCAGTGTGCAGTTTCACAGTCACATGACGCAGGTCACACTAAGAAGTGACTCACTTTAAGGAAGGAAGAACAGCAATGCTGACTCATGATTCAGTTTCGTTTTAGACAAAGGAGCAATGAAGTATTAAAACCTGGATTCTCCTTTCTAAACCTGCAGAGGGTCAGGCTACCCTAACCCTACCCTAACCCTCTGTGTCATGTTGTCATTGTAGTTATAACAGACATGCCCAGACACGTATGCATTAGCCTACATATATTATCAGTATTATAAAGGTATTTCACATCACACACACACAACTAATAATGATTTGGGAGGAGACATGTTCAAACATCACAGTCTGAGCTGCTAAATTTTAAATCCCAGAAGTGTCTTGTAAATATTTAAATTAATACAGGAAGTTATGCAGCCCTTCCGATCCTTAATGTGAAACAGGCAAACTGAGCCGATCCAAACATTACAGCCCTTCCGATCCTTAATGTGAAACAGGCAAACTGAGCCGATCCAAACATTACAGCCCTTCCGATCCTTAATGTGAAACAGGCAAACTGAGCCTATCCAAACATTACAGCCCTTCCGAACTGGCTGAACCAAAGCAATATGGCCGGTTTGCTGAGAGACAGCAAGTGCTGCTGACATCTTAACGTGTGTTCTGGGGGTGTTTGCAATGCAGCATTGCGCAGACCCCCTACCACCCCTTAAGGGGGCTGTTAGCACAGGCTTATCATCTGCTCCTATCAAACTGGCAGCATCTCCCACTTCAATTTTCATACATAATTTAGCCGGAAGTTTATCAGAAATATGAAGAGAAACCAGCCTCAATGAGTTTACGAGAACGAGATGCCTTTAAAGGAGCACATCACAGCTGGCTTTAGGGAAGGGAAGGCTTTTTGCTGCCAAGCGCAAAATTCGCAGGCCAACCCCTCCCCCCCGCCCCCCCACCCACGGGGATGATGGGAAAATGGGAAATGGTAGTGGGCAAGAGGGGGAAAGTGCCTCATTTAGACCGTAATGAGGAATCACTTTGCCTTTAGACTTTTATTATAAAGGAGAAATTCGGCTTATATTCAGCCTTCAGTCTCAGTGGCAAATGAGTCTCTCAAAGGGGTCAACAGTCAATAATATTCCTTAACTGCCACCTTAATGAAAAGCAGAGGTCTCTCCGTCGGGACAGGGGAGGGTTGGCCGTCCCACCTGACTCCAACTGATGTTCTGAGGCCCCCACCGCCATGTTCGCAGTTATTCTGCTGCAACGTGAACATTTGCGCTCGAACGGCCGCACTGATGTTCAGCGTGACGGGGGTTTAATCAACGGCGATGAGCTCTCTCTAGCTGCCATTTCGCACGAGCAACGGTTCGAGTCGGACTGGAGAGGATGAGACAGCTATGACCCGCAGAGAGCAGGGGGGGTGCCCACTGAAATCCTGGAGCCACAAAAACATGGCGTTTCTGCCAAATCGCTCAATCTGATGCGGCCACATTTGGAGCGCATTTGAATTTAGCAATGTTGCAACACTTGCACCTGCAGTGGATGCTTCGGGGAACACCACCCGCTCTCTGAAATCACGTCCAGGGGGGTGGCTGGACACTCGCACTGCACAGCGCCGACCCCCAGGAAATGTAGCTCAAATGAAATAGTTCCACTAGGTTGTTTCTTCAGTTTACTTGCTTTGGTTTTGCCTAAAGCCAGAACATTCCATGTGAGAATAACACACAAGTCGTTATGTATTATAGAAAAACTGCTCTAAGAGCCAAAGTGGATGCTTAAGATCTGTCCAGATCAAATCCATGAAGCGTGCAGCGCGAGTCAGACATGGCACTCGCAGACAAATCACTCCATCCTTCAGCGGTCCAGCAGGAACCCAGAGAGGCCCCTCGTTTACCTGCGTGCGTCAATATCACCAGAATTTTTTAGAAAACAGCCAACCATTGAAAATCCAGTAGCACTGAAGCATGATGCTCCTACACGGCATTTCCAACAGAATAATAATCCCTTATTAATGGTCATGGGGAGATTCTCTTTTTTCCAACCAGATCTTACTCTCCATGAGAGACACATACGGGTGGGAGCAAGTTTGGGGGTCACGGGACAGGGTCAGCCAAGCATGCAGTATACCTAGAGCTGAGGGCTTAAGGGTCTTGCCTATGGGCACACAGATTTGTGACAATTGCACGGAAGCTGGGCTCAAACCGGTGATCTTCTGACCAGAGGCACCCAGGCTTAGTCCACTGAGCCACATGCCACCCTGTGGAATCCAGGTCTTACTTGACTTATTCGATTTATTTGGCTTCATGTTGTTGCCAGGGTATGATCTCATGCTGTCTTTGAATAAACGCGGCAATAAATAAATGTAGATAGACGGTCATTCCTCTCACCCGTAAGGTCGTCTGTGGGCCAGGAGCCCAGCTCGCACGCTCGGCAGGTGTACTCATCGAAGACAAACTCGTTCTCCTTGCAGGGTGTGCAGGTCCAGCAGCAGCTGACCTCACCTTTGCGGATGACCTGGGAGGGGAGGTAAGCTGTGAAAGCCGCGCTATGGACACGGTGTGGGTCCGGCCATACTGGCCAATTAGAACACGCCCACTCTCCCAAAATCAGCTGAAACTATATCTTCTCATTAAATTCACAGCAGGTCCCACACCCAAGACCGCAAACGGGTCACGCGGAGAAGCTTCTGGAAAAAGTGAGGTTGCCTGAGACCCACCTTGATCTGGCCCTTGTCGCAGGGCTCGCTGCACACCGATTTCATCATGGTGCTGCGGTTGGACCAGATCTCGTCATCGTTGATTTTCAAGCCGCTGTTGTCCCAACTACCCACATTGATGTAGTTGTAGTAATCCTTACCCATCTTCTTAAAGTTCATGATCTCGTACCTGGGGGGGGGGAGGATCACACTTAGGCTTGGCAAACAGAGGAAACTGGAAGGGACTGATTGGAGCCAGATGAACTTCTCTGGGGGCCCTAGGGACACCTGACTATAAGCCCCCCCTAGCGGTGGTGAAACCTGCCAAGGTGGGGTTGAGGGGGGGTTGGGATGCTGGTGGATTAATTGGCCAGATTTAATAAGGGCGATGCTATAGCCTCAGGCGGCCCGTGCATTAAACCGCCCCTGGACACAAATGATTCTTGCCTATTTAGTTCAACTGAGGGGTGAAATTAATACAAAGTAAATGAATAGACAGACAGAATTCAAGGGCATTAAGGACAGGAGACACCCAGACAATGGAAGTCTGTGAAGGAAGACTTGCTCAGTAGGGGTGTAACGGCAAAATCCATGATTCAGGACAAACCTCGGTTTTGGTTCATATTTCAGAGCAATTTAAGTGCAGCAGGAAAATCATAATTTGTTTTGAAATTATTATTACAACTGCAAACACAAACACAATTATGAACAGCTGTAAAGCAAAAGCAAAGCGTCTGTCAGTGTTGTATGAATAACTAAACCTAAGAGACACTTATTTGCACATTGTAAAAATAAAACGCAAAATGAATTCAAAAATAAACAATATAACTATAATAAAAATCATAATGGATCAGATCCTGTCTAAATCCCATGTTCTCTTCTAACAAGTATGGGCTCATAACTGTAGGGATAAACAGCATTCCATCCTATCTTCCATCCATCTTCCCTTCCATCCATTTTCCGAAACCGCTTGTCCTATTCAGGGTCTCAGGGAGTCCGGAGCCTGGGATTAACATCCCATAATTATTGTGGTATAAATTTCCCATTAACTCCCCAGAGAGACCATACAGAGGCTGTTTCTGCCTTTTGCTTCCTTTGTGTTTTCAGCAACATATCCAAGTTTAATATAACAGAGCCGGCAGACAGTCTTGGTCTTATCTAAGTCTCTCTCTCTCAGGTGTTTGTATAATTTATTGGGAAACCAAAATGTTCCCAAACTGCCGATTATGACTCTGACTGGCATTAGCCGTAACCAACTCACAGCCACGAATGGCATAATATTTCCGTGTTGGACATCTACCTGTGAACCAAAAATTATGTGCCAAACAGCACCTAATAAATACCATCACAGGCCCATCGCCTAGGGTCAGGCGGGCGTGGGGCGTCTGCCATCTCACCTGCCGGGGGAATCCCCGTTCTCGTCGAACAGGATGCCCTCCCCGGACACCCCCGTGAAGTTGGTCTTCATCAGGAAGTCCAGAAGCTTGCGGCCGTCGATGGGCCTCATGGCTTCACAGAGCCCCGAGACGCCCGGACACAGCGCCCTCTGCATGTTGTGCAGCCCGTATGCCATGGAGTAAATGGCGTTGATGACGAAGCCCATCTTGGTGTCCTGGGTGTACTGCTGCCTCAGGGACTCTCTCTCTGGGTTAATGTATAAAGATAATAGGAGGATCAGTTTTGCGTCGCAATTATCAGCAATTATCATCGTCCTATTAACTGTGACAACCAGTCTGCCACCTGCCACGAAACAAATGACAGTAAAAGAGGCTGCCTTGCAATGCTCAACCCTCCCAGCTAACACCTTTTTTTTCCCCGAGACAGGAAGTGTGGATGTGATCGAGCCAATCGCTTTCTGCGCCAAGGCGTCCCAGTTAATATCCTCGGTGACACACACACTCGGCTGCTCCCGCCATTCTGGCCAGTGGAACGAGTGCAGTATTGGTTTTAGGGTTAAGCTGACTGCACTCATGGAGGATTCATCACCATCTCCTGCAGCGTAACAGGAAAGCACTGTCCGGCCCAGAAGACGGAGGCGGCAGTGATGCAAGCTCCCAACGCGGGGTTAAATCCTAGACGGGGCCCTGATCTATTAACGGAGGATTTACAGTGAGGAGTCCCCAAACTGAGCTGAAGAATAAGAGTCAGGACAGCCAGAGCAGCATGCTGCCACTGTGGACACCGGCGGCCCCTGCAGGTCGGCTGGCAGAATGCGACAGCTGTGTTTAGAGTTAATGAAACATCCTGCAGGTCTTCCAGTCCGAAGACGAAGAGCTGGACTGGACTGACTGGCTCCTACTACAATCTTTCAGTGTAACACAGTGCAAAAGTACCAGGCTTGTCTACAGCAGCCCGGACTTCACTGCCCCCCCCCCCCCCCCCACGACTCCACCCGCTTTTGAGGGGGGGGACACCTGACTCACACATCTGCCATTCCTACTCCGGTGTGTGTCGTCCACAGAGAAAAATGAGAAACATTAAACGCAGTATTTAATATCTCTAGTTTTTTACATATTCAAAGGGTGTCATTAACACCGGTGCCTTTGAAGTGGCTTTACAGTTGCGGGGGGGGGGGGGGTTTGAATAGCAAGAAAAGGGCCACATTTACAAAGAAGAACCTTCCCTTGTTTGAAGGGTAGAAAGAGGTGAATAAATAAATGGGGCTTCCTGATGAATGGGGGAACCTCCACAGAGGCCTTAATCAGCATAAGAACGGCAGTGAGAAAGGCCTCTTCGAAACCCAGGGACCATGATCCCGACTGATGCATTTATCCCGGTTCCGGAAACGCAAAGAAGAACACAACAAAGGCCCATGGGGCAGGTGTCTCTCGGCCTCTCTGAACGGGCCGGCAGCACACGTGACCGAGTCTGAATCATTTTACCTCGCCTGGATTTTATTTATTTTATTTCCTTTCACTGTCTTCCAGGACAGTCGGTCAGGCTGGCGTAAGATGGCTGTAACCAGGCTGTAAAAAAAAAAAACAGCTGGCCCCAAATCCTGAGGGCTGAAGTCGGGAGATACACTCCCCCACTCCACTCCCCCCACAGGAAGGTGACTGAACCTGACTGAGCGCTTGGCACAGGAGCGACGGGATACGGCTTAATCACCGCGGCGAGACAGCGAGGCTGAGGGTGGGCGGCCATCTTGGGCTTGGGGCAGCGCAGCACAGCACTTACTGGTACAGGTGCGGTTGTACTTGGTGTTCTCCTGCAGTTGTCCCCGCAGTCGGCACTGGAAGCGGTGCTGCCAGAACTCGGGGAACCAGGGGTTGCGCGGGTTGTTGTCAGGCCGCAGACGCAGGTAATAGTCGTCAAACCACTTGACGTCGGCTGACTGCAGCTTGATGGTGATCCCGCCTGCGGCCTCCCTCACGTAGCCGTCGGTGACGTCGTGGCGGTCCGCCCAGCCATCGCTGTGGGCAGGCAGGTTAACTGCAGTGAGGCCGGGATTGCGGCCAATTTACGCGGCATGGCGTTTACGCCCCTCAGGGGTGCAGGATGCTGTGTTCTCACACTGACGCCTCGTATGGGTGTTCGGTGCGCTGTTCAGCTGGACATGAGCGGCTTTACGAAACACCTACCCCTCCGAGTCAGGCTCAGATCAGTAACTACAAGGCACCATGTTTCCACACAATAACAAACACGAGGGGGCGGGTGTGGGGGGCGTTACTGAACACTGTAACATGAGGCGTCCACCCGGGCTGTTCATAGGCGGAGCTTAACTGAATGTCGAATTTCATCAACATGCACAATTGCTTTGTGTTTTTTCCTCAAGCTTAAATCTGCCTCCTCATGCACCAAGTCTGGACTCTCGAGGTGAGATTCTGGGAATTCCCTACGACTTATTGCCAGATTGGGGCTGGATCCATGCATTGTTTATCTACAGTATCCCATTCTCACATTACAGCCACACGGCTGGGCTTGGGCTGGGGTCTGGTCTCTGCTGTGTGTGTACATTCTGCATGTTCTCCCTGTGCTGCTGGGTGCTCCGGGTTCTGTGGGGTCTGGTCTCTGCTGTGTGTGTACATTCTGCATGTTCTCCCTGTGCTGCTGGGTGCTCTCCGGGTTCTGTGGGGTCTGGTCTCTGCTCTGTGTGTGTACATTCTGCATGTTCTCCCTGTGCTGCTGGGTGCTCCGGGTTCCTTTCGCAGTAGGATGTGCTATGTGTATGTGACCTCTGCCCCATGCTCTGTGCTGCCTGGGATGGACTCCAGAGCTCCCACCCAACCCTGACCAGGATAAGTGTGTGGAACATGGATGGATGGATGGATGGATGGACAGACTTCAAACTGATTCCAAATTGAATTTAATATGATTTATGGAATCATTATGAAATACTACTACTACAACTGCTGCTACTACTAATTATAACAATGAAAGAACAACAACAATAATAATAATAATAATAATAATAGTTAGACTAGCTTTCAGCCCAGGAGGTCATACAGAAGCCCTGTGGTCTGAACCCTGGATCACTGGCTCACGCGTCACTGGCAAAGCCCCCCACCCCTGCCTGAAAGAGGAGGGTCTCTGCCACTGATGAGCAGCTATAAGACTCGCAGATGTTTGGGGTGCGACCTCAGTCTGACAGGGCAGTCGATTCATCTCCCTGTAGCCGATTCTATGCCAATAAAAATCCCTACATGTTGACTACAGGGATACTGAGGGTCACCTGCTGCCGTGCAGAAGCAGCCTAACAGCACAAACACCTGCCTCCGAGGAGAACAAGAGCACCCGATAAAAATAAAGAGAATTACTCCTAAAAACATCCACACACACACACACACATCCAGGAGATTGTCTTCAAAAAATGCAGATGTCTCCTTCACAGCAGAATTCCGGAAGCTAAATATAGTATTTCCCAAAATAAGCAGTCTCAGGTGTTATTTTTCCGAAGATTTGTGGTGGGAAGACGTTCGTCTTGGAAAACCCTTCAGAACAACATGAGGCACATAGCGGGGAGGGTGACATTCGTCTGTGACAATGACAGCAGGCGTTAAGCACAGACACGGTACCTTGAACACTGGATGCATTTAAAAAGGTGGCAGATGGATCAGTGTGAGTTTATGCTGACACCCGCGCTCTGAATGTCATGCGTATACAAACCCCACGGCCACCAGCCCAGTCATACATCAAACCCTTAACCATCTTCTTTCCCATAAACCCAGGATGTCTGTCTGATTGAGATCAATTGTTCTGATGAAATATCTTCATGTACAGACAATGGATAATCAGCTATGCAACTAAGCATAACTGTATTTAAAATGTATTTTTCTGTCTGTCTTATGTCCATATCTTTAATAATCTTTAAATGTGTTACAAATTTCTATTCTGTTTATTACTGCTTTTTGCACTAACACCAAAACTTCATCACAGTGTGTGACTCACAGATCACATAGCTGAAGATGACAATACTTTGAGATAAACGACAGTTTTTGCCCCTCAAACCTGAGTATTGCCCATCTTCATAGCGAGGTCTCCCTGGGCTTTAGCTCAGCTGGGCACAATCACAACAGAATGTGAATGTGCTGAACTCCTGATCAGCTTTCCATGGACCAATGTCATCTCGCTGTACCCTCACCCTGAATGCTGGGGTCTCCGCAGACCCCCGCGGAGCCCCGTTCCCCACGACACGGACAGACGTGGGGCAGCACTCGGCGAGGATGGGGTGCGTGGCAGGGTGGGCCTGAGCAGGGTAGGGTGGAAAAGGCAGCAAGCGACAGTCTCTGCATGCGTGAGCGGACAGAAGCGCTGAACTCTCGAATCACAGCAATGCCAAGGCGAACATTTGGCACCTAATCGTTTATGAGACGGGGGCCCATATGGTCACTCCGTTCCGGCGTTAAATTAAACATTTTACGTCTCAGAAGAATAGAAAAGCTTGCCTCAGGACGTGTCTTTCTGCTTTTTGCCATCCAAGGCACCCAAAAATAAATTACTCCCAAACTTCTTCTCAGAGGAAAACACCACACAGTCATCAATAAATTACTGGGACAGAAGTCTGTTTATCTCCCAAGCCTCTGTAGATGGTTTTTAACTGAGGACACGGGAAGAGAGAAATCATCAAAATGTCCATATTCAGATTTGTCTTGATAGGCTGACAGGTTTCCGTCTTTGGGAGGTTTAATGTGTTAATGTTTTGCGATATACGGGTAGCAGCATCTGAGGATCATATCATTCAAGCAATGTAAACAAAAATGTACACATGAATGAATGACCGCCGCTTCAGACCGTCACACTGGCGCGGTGTAGACACCCATGATGGTAGATGGTCAATCTTCATTTTAACATCGCTAACGTTTTTGTTGCCCCGAATCCGCTTCCCCGTCACACCTGGATCGCCAGCCTCGTAACTGCGGCCCTCCAGTGAGGACAGCAGACCTATCATAGTCAGACAGTCCCCGCTGTTAAACTGGGTCACGGATCACATTTACTGCCTGGGCGGCCAGAGGCACCAGAAGCCCCCGTCAGCCTGCATCCTGCCAGCCGAGCCCCGGTGGCAGAGCGCCACGCTGCCCCAGGGACGGGGAGGCGAAAGCGTCCGTGAAGCCGTCTGGCAGATGGCACACTGCCCCCCCTCCCCTCGCCTGGCTGGCCATCCCAGCAGGTCATATCACTGCGAGGCAATCCGCACGGGGCACCATAACCTACCCCCCCAGGTCACCGAGCCTCCGATTGTACTAGGTATGCCGGTACCGGGTCAGATCTGGCAAGACGGCTGAACGGGAGCCAGAACCTAGTGATGGCATGACGAGCACAATATCGCTGCAGCCTGGTTAAAGAGGGTCTCAGCGGCGCCCCCACCTGGCGGACATTGTCTCCTCAGAGAGAATCCTGAAGGAGCGGCTGGCCCTTAAACATAAATGGGGTCGAGAGGCATAGGAAGTGAGGGAGGCCAGCAGTGACACATGCAGACCTGGAGGGCAGGGTGACATACTGCCTGGCAGGGTGAGGGCAACCGCGCTGGTGCCACACTAAATACCCACAATGCTCTGCTGCTGGAATTTAGTGCCTCCTGGAAAGTGAGCCTCCAGCCCCGAGCCATTTCTCTCATCCATAAATCACATCTGATGCAGCATTTGTGGGGAACAAGGTAAGGAGGTGGTGAATGTAAATGCGAATAACAGGCACAGTAAGGACGAGTGCACTGTATAAATGGCTTCTATCAGGGCACCAAGGATGCGTAGAAATGCATTGCAAAAAAAAAAACTAGAGGGGAAACAGACCTTTATATCCCCATGCTACTTTTATTCCAGTGAAGGAAACAGCGGCTTAGGTAAGGCGACGCGAGCCAGAGAACTGCAATTAACCACGCAACGTGAAGGTGGCCTGTCCCCCTTAATGCTGAAACATGCAAAGCAGCGCGGAGACGCCAAGGGCTCTATGATCAGCGACACCCGGAATCCGGGGCTGGTGCCCATTCAAGGGGCAGCAGGTTCAAACCCAGAAAAGGTCCTGCTTACAGCAGCTGAGCAGGTCGGCTGAAGGGAAAAATCTGTTATAAGAAGGTAAAATGCCTACAATTTTCTTAGGAAAATAACAGTAATGATAAATAATAATGAATTATATATGTATTTACAGAGTCGGGGTTTCGGTAACGGTGCAGTCCGTGCCGGGGGCGTTAATGAAGGTTTTTATGAGCTCTGTTGGATAAGCGATAAATTCTTAGCGACTGTTCTGTGGTCAGCGGTGCGGAGTCCGCCTTGCCTGTCACCTCGTCACGGTCCACGTTTGCTCGGTCGCTCTATCACTGGAGGAGGAGTGCGCGGTCGCTGGCGTGAGCGCTCACACGGCGAAAAGCTTCCCGGCATCCTCGCACGGGTACATGCACGGGGGCCGACACACACAGCAGCCCCCCCACACACACACACAGAAAACCCTACACAGCGTCTGGCCACCCACATTCAGTCACCCCCCCCATTGCTGAGCTCCTCTTACCACAGTCCGTCATACACCAGTGTGGAGTGATCACCCCCTGATCTCTGCATGAGGAGAGATCATTCGATGGGATCAACACGGGGGGGTGATCATTTGCAGGGGGGTGTGATGGCAGGTGGCAGGAGACCTCACCCTTTTGTGCCAACATGGATGTGTTTCTCGGGTGTTATAACCTCCAAAATAAACCAAACCGCCTCTTCACGCTGAACTCCCGTTAAAACGAGCACAGCCCTCCTCCCAAACACGTTTCTCCTCTCTGTAAAATCAGGATGGAAAACAGAGCTTCTATTTTTACAGTCGGCTCCTATCCGGGTTCCCGGAGCTACAGAAAAGCGATAACAACAAGCTAGACCCCGTGATTAACCGTCTGAAACCCTAAATATGCAGCGATTACAGTCACACGCCCCTCCAGTGTCTCCTCCCTACCGAGACAGAGAAAAACCCGCAATCTGACACGATTGCTGGATCCGGCCAG